GAGAGCCAGAGAGTGGGTGAGGAAGGAGGGCAGGTGGGGAAGGCGCTCCCAGCCTCCGTACCAGGAGGGCCCACTGAGTTGTCTTCAGGTGAAATTGTTTATGTGGAACTGAAATGCAAATCCTGGGCTCCCTGGTCTGCTCTTGGTGGGTCTGCTGGGATGGCCAGTGGTTGAGCAACCCAGAGTGTGATTATTAAACTGACGGTAACAAAGCAGCTGTGAGGGAGCCAAGAGGCACAAACTCCCCGAGGCTGGCTCTGGAGGCTTTGCAAATTCCAAACAACTTTGCCAATGAACTGCAGTAACCCAGCCACAGGCCGAAGAGGGCAATCCTCACTCCAAGTGCATCCTGTCCTCGTCGAGCTGTTCTGACCCCAGATTTCTCGTGTGTGTTCTCATGGTTGACTCCCAGGAGCTTGTCCATCCTCGATGGAGTGGACACGTGAACAGGGAGGTCTGTAACCCCAGCACAAAATAACCACTTGGTGGGGGCTGTAAAGGCCCATGATGGATTCTTCTATCAAATTGTAGAACAGGGGTGTGTGTGCATGTGTGCCTGTGTGTGTGTGTGCCTGTGTACGTGTTCATGACTGTGTACAAGTATATATGCCTGTATGTGTGTCTGTGTGCGTGTATATGCATGTGTACCAGTATGTATGTGTACCAGTGTGTGTGTTGGGGGCGGTGCTGATCAGGTGAGACTAGAAGCCCTGGGAGCCCAGGGGAAAAGCAGCCGTTCGTGATGAGTCTGAGTGGTCAGACCAGAACCAGCCCTGGGGTGTGGGTGACAGCCCTGAGCCAGCTGGAGAGGGAAGAAGCAAGGGCCTGGGTGGTCCTGAACAGAGGCTGTTTGGTGGGGACAGGAGGTGATCTTCCGCAGCCCAAGGCTTCGTCATTCCGGCCTCAGCCGAGGGCTGGCCCTTTCTCCTCCTCCTCGAGCCTCTCAGCAGTGAGGGTCCCCTTCCTGGCTCTCCTCTGTCTCCACCCGCACGCTACTTCCCGGGGCTGCCTTCCGCGCTCACATCCCGCACTCTTGTCTGCACACGGGTGACGGCAGAGGGCGGTGAGCAGTCTCCACTCAGACCCTCCCCAGGTCGGGAGCGTTCTGGGCCTCGCAGGCTAAAGCAGCTGAACTGGGGCATGAAACAAGGAAGAAACCTGGGAGAGGGGAGCAGAGGAAGACCACGCTGTGACTGGTAGCCAGAATGAGCTTGGCCTTCGCTGACTCTCTGTCCCTCCTTTGGGAAACTTCTCTTTCTACAGTCCATAGCAGTCTGCTCTGCCCATGTGGTTCAGGTGGGCCTGACTCATCCCTATCCCTCCACAAGGGGCAGGTACTTGACTCAGGCTTGGACCTCTAGAATCTTCCTTTCTGAACAAGCCTCCATCTGGACTCAGGAATCCTTCCTGGGATGTGTGCTAAACCTTTCAGGAAATAGTCTCATTTTCTTTGTTAGGTCGCTATGGTAAGCGCCATGTAAACTCAAGGCTTCCAGAGAGTTCTTAGCACTGTCTTTCAGTTCGAAACTTTTTTGCCTGAAACTTAGCAGAGGAAGCGTGGACCTGTCATTTAAAACTTGGTTTTGTCTGTGCCTAAGGCAGCTCTAAGCCTGAAGCTAACGCAGATGTAGAAGACAGAGAAGTCAATCTCTTCATTGTCGATGCTGACAGTAACTCGGGGCAGAAGAGCTGGAGACCCAGGAAAGCTCATGGTGAGATTCAGTCCAGGCTTGAGGGCTTCAGAAGCAGGAACCCTGACGTGCAATGGCAGGTAGCAATGGATGTCCCAGCTCAAGAAGAGAGACAGAAAATTTGCCCTTCCTCCACCCACAGACTGGCATGGTACACCCACATGGGAGAGGTGATTTTCTGTACTCAGTCTTTGGGTTCAAGTGGTAATCTCTTCTAGAAGCATCCACACACACCCAGAAACAATGTTTTACCAACCTTCTGGGCATCCGTTGGTTTAGCCAAGTTCATGAATAAAATTAACTATCACAGCAAGTATGGAAGATTAAGATCACAGAGTTTGAGAGTTACCTTTTCTAAATTTTCCTCCTGTCTTAATTCTTGGCAGGGGCAGGGAAGCCACTAATAAAGTGAGGAAATAATCAAGGAAGAACAATGATATTTTGGAATATTGTGTCCTTTTGGTTTGCCCTTGAAATTAGTTATTATCAGGGCTGGCATTGTGGCATAGTGGGTTAAGTCACTGCCTGCAATGCCAGCATCCCATATGGGCACTGCCAGTTCATGTCCTGGCTCCTCCACTTCAGATCCAAATCCCTGCTAATGTGCCTGGGAAAGAAGCAGAAGATGGCCCAAGTACTTGGGCCTCTGCCACCCATGTGGGAGACATAGATGGAGATCCAGGCTCCTGGCTTTGACCTGGCCCTGTTTAGGCTGTTGCAGCCAATTGGGGAGTGATCCAGTGAATGGAAGATCTCTCTCTCTCTCTCTCTCTCTCTCTCTCTCTCTCTCTCTAACTCTGCCTTTCAAATAAATAAATAAATATTTTTTAAAGATTTATTTATTTGAAAGGCAGAGTTGCACAGAGAGAGGAGAGGCAGAGAGAGAGAGAGAGAGAGAGAGGTCTTCTGTCCACTGGTTCACTCCCCAATTGGCCGCAATGACCGGAGCTGCACTGATCTGAAGCCAGGAGCCAGGAGCTTCTTCCAGGTCTCCCACATGGGTGCAGGGGCCCAAGGACTTGGGCTATCTTGTACTGCTTTCCCAGGCCATAGCAGAGAGCTGGATCGGAAGGGGAGCAACCAGGTATTGAACTGGCACCCATATAGGATGCTGGCACTCAGGCCAGGGTGTTAATCTGCTGCACCATAGTGCCGGCCCTGATAAATAAATATTTTTTAAAACATAAACTATTCTTAAAAGGGTTTAAAGGAAAAGGAAGAACTTTATCGGTAACTGAAATCCAACCACATCTTACAAAGGAAGTTCTTCCCATGGGGTACCTCAACTGTGGCTAAGTCAAAAGTAGCCATGAGAGAGTTGGTAGAATTGGATTATTTATTCATTCATTGGCAAACAATAATCACATATGTTTATGGAGTACAACGTGATCTTTTGCTATATGTTTACAGCATGGAATGACTAACTCAGGCTAGTTGACAAATCTGTCACCTCACATACTTATTTTATGTGTGGGCACATGGTGAAAAATGTCCGTAATCTGTATTGCAGCCATTTGGAAATGCATGCCGCATTGTTGTTTATTACAGTCACCATTTGTGCAGTAGAGCGCTAACCAAACCTCGATTCCCGCTAACATCTGCCTTTCCTTCTTTCACCCTCCACTCCTGGAATCCTGTTGAACTGCCTTGTTCTGTCTACTCCAAATCTACCAGAATTAACTCCCACATTCAGAGAAATTCCAGTGGGGACTTCTCAAGTGATGGAGCTCAGAAGAGAAGAGAAAGGAATGCTGCTATCGCACCAGAATTTGTGCAAGACCTTATGAGGGAGCCGTGGAGATGCTGAGTTGGCTGAGCCTGGAGCCCTCCTGAGACTTAGCTTTGGGGGTTTGGTCTAAGCTACCTTGGGGCACCGGCTGGCTTTGGTTTGATGGCCTCAGATCCCGGGGTATCTGAGGCCCATGCAGGTTTCCAGCAGGCCAAGGCCTCTCTGGGGTTTGCTCTGCTTTGTTGGTTCCCACGCAGACCTTGAGGAAGGGCATGAATAAAATGCTGCTAGGTTTTCTTTCCCATCAGGATTCTTCTCTTAGCCAGGGTTTAATCCCTGAACCAGGAGCCTTGTTCTCAGCATTCAGGCTTCTCGCAGTTGACTTAGAATTGTAACATTTGCTCCACTGTTGCAACAGCAGTTCTACAGTCTGCTTCCCCGAGGCATGTTGCAAGAGACAGAAATACTGTTTTCCCTTTGTTCCACTTCACGCTCCTTTATGCTAAATGTACCAAGTGAATCCTTGATCTAGCCCTCAAACCCTGCACAAGAGAAAAGTTTCCATCCTCTGCATTTCCCAGCGACTCCACACAAGTCCGTTTGACTTTGGGCCAAATCCATTCAACATTCATTCCATGAAAATCTTACTTTCACCGGCATGTGGCAGCCATCGCTCCCGGGCATACAGCAATGAATAAAGCAGCGAAATTCCCGTCCCCCCTGAGCGAGCATCCAGGGGACCAGATGGCCATGTGCCCTTGCTGTTGGCCCAGTTCACTCACTCATGCACGCATCAATTCAGTGAGTCCTGAGTGCCGACTGTAGAGACTCTGTGCTATTGTCAGCTAGGCCGGCTCCTGTTTTCCAGAACTCCCTTTCCTGTTAACTTAGAGGGGTCCATGTTAACTTAGAGGGATTGTTGAGTGCCAGCTGGAAGGCAGACGTGGAGCAGCAGCCTTCGTGGCTCACACCCACTGTCACTCACCTGCTGGGCCTCATCCTTGCTGTGAAGCAGAGGCTGGGCCTGCAGCTGCTCCATCCTCCCCGGCTTCCTCCCTCAGCGGCTCCAGCTCCAGGACCAGGGTGGGCATCTCACTCCCTCACCAAGGGCATCCTTGCTTGGCTTCTTTCCATTCTGTTACACTCTCCAAAAACCCCAGCCTTGCTTATTCCCGATGCTGCTGCACCCTGTGTCTCACTTGTAATTAGCCATGGAAGCCACACTGTACCACTCGTTATGAACATTCTCCTTTGCTCCTTATTCATTCAGCAAAGTCCTAACCAGGCTCTCCTGTGGCCGGTGCTTTGCTAAGCACTGGGGGACCATAGGGGAACAGAACGGATGTGACTTCTGCCTTGATGGGGCTTTCAGTCCAATGGGGCAGACAGACCAGAAAAAAGTCAAGTAAACAAACATAGAAATAAACTAGATTTTTAAAAAATGAGTGGGGTTATTTGTGTAGAGACAAATGGGTCTGAGTGGACAGATAAGAGAGACAGGGAAGGCCTGCCCAAATGTTTTTGTAAATTTTAGAAAGTCAAAAGGAAATGGGCCCATTAAGAAGCCATTTTTCATAGAAGTGTTTATTCATTTGAAAACACTCTGTGGAGGGTAAGTATCTTTTTTCAAAAAAGATTTATTTATTTATTTGAAAGCCAGAGTTACACAGAGAGAGAGAAGGAGAGGCAGAGAGAGGTCTTCCATCCACTGGTTCATGCTCCAATGGGCTGCAATGGCTGGAGCTGTTCCAATCTGAAGCCAGGAGCTGTGCCGATCCGAAGGCAGGAGCCAGCTTCTTCCATGTCTCCCACGCGGGTGCAGGGGCCCAAGGACTTGGGCCATCTTCTACTGCTTTCCCAGGCCACAGCAGAGAGCTGGATAGGAAGTAGAGCAGCAGGGTCTTGAACCGGCGCCCATATGGGATGTTGAGCTGCAGGCAGAGGCTTAGCCCGCTACGCCACAGTGCCAGCCTGGGTGTTGAGTACCTTAGCATGGCTATCAGCAGAGATGGGAAGCCAGCTGAGAAGCCCATGTTCAGGTGAAGGGAGCATCACACAGACACTCAGCAGGGAGAACTGGAGACGCTTGTGTTTTTCTTTCCTGTTCTGCCATTGAAAGGAAAAACACATGGAAAACAATTCTTTCACCCCTTATTTATTAAGAATTATTTACTGAGGGAGGGGCATTTGGCACAGCAGCTGAAGCACTGTGTAGGACACTTGCATCCCACATTGGATTCCCTGCATTTGATTCCTGGCTCTGGCTCTGGCTCCTGGCCCTCCTGACTCCAGCTTCCTTGGGTCCCCGCCAAGACTTAGATTGAGCTCATGGCTCCTGGCTTTGGCCTGGCCCAGTTCTAGCTGTGGTGGGTGCTGGGGGAATAAACCAGCAGATTGAAGATCTCTCTCCCTTCCTCTCTCTCTCTCAAATAAACAAATATTTACTGAGATCAAGTCTAGGCCACGCCATCAGAATCTTCTCAATTGAGGTTGAAATTGGGGCAGGTGTTTGGCCTGGTGGCTAGGACATCTCGTGGGACACCCAAGGCCCCCATCAGAGCGTCTGGGTTTGAGTCCCCAGTCCAGCTCCCCAACCCCACCTTCCTGTTCACACACATCTTGGGAAGCAGCAGTGATGGCTCAAATGGTTGGGTACCTTCCACTGACATAGGAGACCGGGACTGAGTTCCTCTCCTGGCTTCCAGTTTCAACCAGGCCCACCCCTAGCCGTTGTGGACCTTTTTTTTTTTTTTTAATTTGAAAGTCAGAGTTACACAGAAAGAGAAGGAGAGGCAGCGAGAGAGAGAGATCTTCCATCCGCTGGTTCTCTCTCCAGATGGCTACAGTGGCCAGAGCTGCGCCGATCCAAAGCCAGGAGTCAGGAGCTTCTTCTGGGTCTCCCACACAGGTACAGAGTCCCAAGCACTTGGGCCATCTTCCACTGCTTTTCCAGGCCACAGCAGAGAGCTGGATCAGAAGTGGAGCAGCCGGGACTCGAACCGGCACCTATATGGGATGCTGGCACTGCAGGTGGCGGCTTTACCCGCTACGCCACAGCGCCGGCCCCCTATTGTGGGCCTTTGAGGAGAGAACCCATCAATGGAGTGTGTGCTCGCTTGCACCCCCCAACCCCATGTTTCACATAAATAATAATCATAAAACGCAGCAGTCAGGTGAAGGATCAGGGATGCAGGGTGGACTCTGAGAGGATACACAGGACAGCAGAACATACTTGAGACAAACAGCTGGGGTGTTGGCAGCACTTTCCTATCCAGAATCCTACTAGACTAGCCCTTTTCTGGGGTGACGTGCCAGGTGATGGCTCTGCTGGGCTGTTCCTCCACAGTCAGGACCCACTGCTGCCTTCACACACAGGCTTAAAGTTGGGGGTCTGAAGTGTGGACTCAGGGCACAGACACCCCAGTAGGGACTGGTGGATCTTCTTCTACTGTTTCTGATGATGACGCAGACCCGGTCTCTGGTCTCGGATCCAGAGGGCTATGCTCACACATGGAATCTCACAGAATCAAGGAGCAGCTCACAAAGGCTAAGCGACAAGCGGGTGTGATGAGCGACAGACTAAAGCTCGCCTCCACAAGCACTCAGCCTTCACAACTAGACGGGCACCGTGTTTTGGAAATCCCACGTTCTCCTTACCGTTTCGCTCTCAGGGAGGTTTCAGTAAATAGGAGCCCAGTCAGGCATTTCAGCTGCTTCTCCAGCTTTGCCTGGAGCTCCTGAAGCAAGGTGCCAGCAAGCTGATAGGTTATAAAGAAAACGCAGGAAGAAAATCCAAGCCACAGCTGGAACGTTCGTGGCTTGCCCTGGGATCTGACGTTCCCTTCGTGGTCGGCATGCCCAGAGTTTCTGTGGTTTATTTACTCCAGGGAGACCAAGTTCCAAACATTTCACAGGTTTCTGCTCCCTCGTCACCTTTCACAACAGTGTTCCTCTCCCTTGCAGTCTGGTCACTCTGTCAGCAAAGATGGACATATCGCGACCTTGTCACAATCTGCTCACTTTGGCCTGGCATAAAGCGTGAACCTGCGTGAACCTGGGGAGCGACAGAAGCCATGGGAATTCAAGCTGCGGGGAAGAAAATGCAAAGGTTTAACTCGAGGTCACCCGCTCTAAAGCTGCTGGCTAGAAAGTGTGTTGTAATCTTGACTCCTAGGAAGCATTGCCAGTGAAATTCACGCTAAGCACCAGCAGTAAGGTGTAGCTTTCCAGAGGCCCAGGGGAGACCCTACCTCCAACACCAGGACACCATGTGGTTTCCCTCCCCGACGCAGGCCGAGGCCTGGAAGCCCCTGGGTTCCCCACCCGGCACTGCAGCCGCCACTCAGGGGGTTTAACTCTAAGCCCACTGCTTATTGCAGGAAGCACTATCTAAACAGTCTTTGTTATTTAAAGCCTGGGCCAGGAGCCTGGGGAGGATTACAAAGGCATGCTTCCTGCCTTCGGCTTGTTTCTTAGGAAATCGCCTCCAGATCGGCTGGAGTCACAGGGGCCCCGCAGGATCCTGTTGGTGCCTTCAAACAAGGAACGTCTCAATAGAGCTCATGGCTTTTCCCCAGATCTGGGAAGGAGAGATGCCTGCCCTGGTCTCTCGGCTGCCCTGATGGGACCGTGCCAAGCTGCAGTGGCACAAGGCCTGAACCACAAGCAGGCGGCGTCACTGCTTGCTTCCACTCCCTCCTTCACACGTTGGGTGGCCCCGTCAGGTGAGGACCATGGTCCTTCTGTCCGGGTGCTCGGCCTTCACCCTTGGTTTGCTGCCACACTGTTCCTTCCTTTCTGCTTCCAGCCATCCATCTGTCCAGGAACCCACTGACTATGCAGCCAACCGCTGGTCTTTGAGCCTCGCCTCTACCCATTCATCAAGTTCAGCGACTTACCATCTGCCAAGCTCTTTGCTAGTCACTGACTCAAAAGATGAGCAAGAACCACCCTGGGGGTGAGGCAGGCGCCTGTATCAGGATCTGTAATTTGGCACAGAGATGGAGGGGCACAGGAGACCAAGGCACTGCAGGCGTTCAGAGGAGAAGCATCCACTGCCACTGTGCCCTCCCCAGGGGCACTTTCTCTTACACGTGTGTAAGCTGAGTGTCCATCCCTGGAGAACTGGGGGGCAGCCCTGGAGGATGCACACTTGAAGCTACGCAGGGTGAGCAGCAAAGGGTTAGGTGCCTGTGGAAAAACACAGCACGGAGTTTAAAAGACACTAAATAATATAGGAATCATGCTAACACTTTTCTAACTAAAATCTACTTGTGGAGGCCGGCGATGTGGCATAGCAGGTAAAGCCCCAGCCTACAGTGCCAGCATCCCACATGGGTGCCAGTTCAAGTCCTGGCTGCTTTACTTCTGACCCAGCTCTCTGCTATGGCCTAGGAAGGCAGTGGAAGATGGCCCAAGTCCTGGGGCCCCTGCACCCATGTGAGAGACCTGGAAGAAGCTCCTGGTTCCTGGCTTCAGATCAGTTCAGCTCTGGCCATTCAGTTCAGCCATTGCAGCCATCTGGGGAGTAAACCAGTGGATGGAACACCTCCCTCTCTCTCTCTGCCTCTTCTTCTCTCTCTGTATATCTCTGTTTTTCAAATAAATAAGTAAATCTTAAAAAAAAAGAAAAAGAAAAAGATGGCCCAAGTCCTTGGGCTCTTGCACCCGTGTGGGAGACCTGGAAGAAGCTCCTGGCTCCTGGCTTCAGATCAGTTCAGCTCTGGCCGTTGTGGCCATCTGGGGAGTGAACCAGCTGATAGAAGACCTCTCTCTCTGTCTCTACCTCTCTCTGTAACTCTGTCTTTCAAATAAATAAAATAAATCTTTTAAAAAATCTACATGTGAGGGTTCCTCAAAGACTAGTGGAAAATGGAGTTAAAATATAAGTTGGTTTTGGCGCAAAAGTTTTTAAAATCCATCCATACAAGGGGTCTTCACAGTGTATTCATAGCATGCCTTTCCCATGAACACTTTGAAGGCCTCTCATGTGCGTCTATTTCTAAATTTTGCACCAAGGCAGACTTATTTTTTAATTCTATTTTTTCTCAAACTTTTTGAAGTACCTTTCATATAAACAATTAAATACACTTTATGAAAACACAAACACAGGGGCCGGCACCATGGCTCACTTGGTTAATCCTCCGCCTGCGGCGCTGGCATCCTATATGGGCGCCCAGTTCTAGTCCCAGTTGCTCCTCTTCCAGTCCAACTCTCTGCTGTGGCCCGGGGGGCAGTGGAGGATGGCCCAGGTGCTTGGGCCCTGCACCCACACGGGAGACCAGGAGAAGCACCTGGCTCCTGGCTTCGGATCAGTGCAATACTGGCTGTAGCGGCAATTTAGTGGGTGAACCAACAGAAGGAAGACCTTTCTCTGTCTCTCTCTGTCTATAACTCTACCTGTCAAGTAAAAAAAAAAAAAAAAAAAAAAAAAAAAACACAAAGATCCACATTAAACCATAAAATAATTGCCTATATAGGAGGCAGAGGGAGGACTAAAGGCTGAAATTCAGAGAACAGTGAATTATATATAAGTCCCTAAGAGGGGGACTTTCATGTACCCGTGGTGCAAACACACCCTGGACTGGAGAAGGCAAAGGGCATCTCCCCGGTGGGCCCCAGAAGGGATTCCAGCCCTGCCGACTCCTGGGTTTTGTCCCTGTGAGATTCATTACCGATTCCTAACCTCCGCAACCATATGGAAATAAACTGATGTGATTTTAGGCCATTTTAAGTTTGTGGTACTTTGTATGAGTAAGTTCAAACAATAATTATATTAAATACATTACAGGAGCTATTGAAAAAGGTGAACAATCTACATAAATAGGAAATTCCAGCAAACACATAGAAACTCTTGAAAATAGTCAAATGGAAATGTCGCAAGAAACAACATCAGACATTAAGACTGACTTACCAAGGACCAAATGGACACGGGAGACAGAATCAGTAGACTTACAGACAGGCCAAGAGAAATCATACAAACTAAAACCCCCCGAGGAAAAAAGGTACATCAAGCGTCCGGTCCAGTGCGGCTCCTCCGCGTGCAGAGGAGCAGCACACAATGTACATGTAAGAACTCTGGAGCAGTATCAAACGGGCTACTGCACCTGTCCCCAGCACTCCAGACGAAGACACAACGGAAACATTTAAGAGAGAATAGCTGGGAACTTTTTAAAGTGAATGAAAGAAAAAACAAACAGATGAAAGCCCAGGATGCAGAGTCAACAAACAGAAAACCGGAAGAAAGATTGGCACAAGGAAAAACACAGCTACAAGGGACATCGGAGTCAAAACAATGAGAACGGCAGAGGGAATCATGAAAGAAATCAGAGAAGACAGAGAGAAACCAAAAACCAAGGGACCAGAGACAGACGTCCCAGCCTTCTCACCAGGAGTCTGCAAGCTGGAAACACTGAAGTTGCATCTTTAAAGGTCTGTAATTTAAAAATCTTTCAAGTAAACATTATGTACCTAGTGACAATATTAACATTAAAAATGACTCAGATATGTAGGTTTAAGCAAACCAGTTTACTACTGTTTCCTTCTTATTTTAGCTGTTTGGCTTTTTCTTCTTCCTATTTTCTTCTTATTTTTTAAAAAGTTATTTATTTATTCAAAAGGCAGAGTTACAAAAAGTAAGAGGCAGAGATAGAAAGAGAGAGAAGTCTTCCATCTGCAGGTGGCAGCCTTACCTACTCTGCCACAGTGCCAGTCCTACTGTTGAGTACTCTCAGGGCCAGAGTTGTGGCACAGCGGGTTAACGCCCTGGCCTGAAGCGCTGGCATCTCATATGGGCGCTGGTTTGAGACCTGGCTGCTCTACTTCCAATCCAGCTCTCTGCTGTGGCCTGGGAAAGCAGTAGAAGATAGCTCAAGTCCTTGGGCCCCTGCACCCACATGGGAGACCTGGAGGAAGCTCCTGGATCCCGGCTTTGGATGGGTGCAGCTCCAGCCAATGCGACAAGTTGGGGTGTGAACCATAGGATAGAAAATCTCTCTCTCTCTCTCTCTCTCCCTCTCCCCTCTCTGTGTAACTCTGACTTTCAAATAAATAAATCTTTTTAAAACTTTTTAAAAAAGATTGAGTACTCTTTGTAATTCCATTTTATTGGCTTACTATATTAAAATTATATTAAATATAGGTGGTGTGCTATGGTTTGGGTTCCAATATAATGGTACTGAAAAGTGGTGAGAGCTTTGAAAGAATGAAGTCATGAGAACTCCACCATAATGAGTACATTCTTATCTTTCTCAAGAGGCTAGCTTAGGTCTTGTGAGACAGGACCAGGACTCACAGGAGTGAGCTGCATCTCACAGGACTGGGCTAGTTATCGAGAGAGTGGGCCACTGGGAAGCACGTTTGCCCTGTGTCTGTCTCTGCTGCGTGTACTTGCTGGGTATTCCTGTACCTGCCACGTCACGTGATACCATCCACCACAAGGCCCTCAGCAACAGCTGAGCAGACGCTGGCTCCATGCTCTATTGTCTATCTGTGTGCGTGTGCGTGCGTGTGCGTGTGTGTGTGTGTGTGCATGTGTGTTTGAGGCGGATATAGAGATCTCCCTTCCTCAAACACCCACAACAGCAGGGGCCTGGATCAGGTCTCCCGATTACTTGAGCTATCACCTTTTGCTTCCAGACTGCATACGAGTGGGAAGGTAGAACTGAACAAGGAGCCAGGACTTGAACCTTGTCACTCTGGTAAAGGATGTGGGTATCCCAAGTGGCATCTTACCCTCTACACCAAGCACCTGCACCTGGCACCATGCCCTTGAGCTTTCCTGTTTCTAAAACTGTGAACTTCTTGGGGCTGGCACTGTGATGCAGCTGGTTAAAGCCCCGGCCAGCATTGCCAGCATCCATATGGGCACTGGTTCTGCTCTACTTCCGATCCAGCTCCCTGCTGTGGCCTGGGAAAGCAGTGGAAGATGGCCCAAGTGCTTGGGCCCCTGCACCCACATGGGAGACTCAGAAGATGCTCCTGATTCCTGGCTTCAGATCAGCACAGTTTCGGCCATTGCGGCCATCTAGGGAGTAAACCAGCAGATGGAAGACCTTTCTCTCTGTCTCTACCTCTCTCTGTAATTCTGTCTTTCAAATAAACAAAATAAATATTTAAAAAAGAATTGTGAACTTTATAAATCTCTCTCTCTCTTTTTTTTTTTTGGACAGGCAGAGTTAGACAGTGAGAGAGAGACAGAGAGAAAGGTCTTCCTTCTGTTGGTTCACCCCCCTAATGGCTGCCATGGCTGGCGCACTGCGCCGATCTGAAGCCAGGAGCCAGGCATTTCCTCCTGGTCTCCCATGTGGGTGCAGGGCCCAAGGACTTGGGCCATCCTCCACTGCACTCCTGAGCCACAAAAGAGAGCTGGACTGGAAGAGGAGCAACCGGGACAGAATCTGGAGCCCCAACCGGGACTAGAACCCGCGGTGCCAGTGCAGCAGGTGGAGGATTAGCCTAGTGAGCTGTGGCGCTGGTCTAAATCTCTCCTCTCTATACATCAGCCAGTCTCATGTATTTTTTTATAGCAACACAAAATTAAGTAAAACATGGCCTAAACAATTCAATTAAAATACCAGGGTTGTCAGATTGTATTTAAAATTAAGACCTAAGGGCTAGTGGTGTGGCCAGCAAGTTAAGCCACCACCTGTGAAGCCAGCAACCTGCCCTGAAGCACTGGTTTGAGTCCCAGCTGCTCTGCTTCCAACCCAGCCCGAACACATCTAGGAAACAGCGGAAAATGGCCCAAGTACTTGAGGCTCTTCCACCCATGTAGGAGACCAGATGGAATTCCAGGCTCCTGGCTTAGGCCCAGCCCAGCTGCTGGCCATTGTGGCCATTTGGGTAGCGAACCAGTGGATAGAAGATCTCCCTCTCTCTCTTTTAAATATTTATTTTATTCATTTGAAAGCGTTGCAGAGAGAGGTAAAGACAGAGGGAGGTCTTCTATCCTCTGGTTCACTCCCCAGATGGATGCAACAGCCATATATTGGAGCCTCTGCTATCAAACCCCACTTCTGCTTCTGATTCAGCTTCCTGCTAACGTCCTGGGAGGCAGCAGATGGCGGCCCGAGCACCGGAATTCCCACCACCCACAGGAAGAACCAGGTGGCGTGCCTGGCTTCTGGTTTCAGCCTGGCCCAACCCTGGCTTTTGTGGGCATCTGAGGAGTGAACTATGGAATCTTTCCGTCTGTGCCCCTCTGCCTTTCAAATAAATAAATCTTTCAAAAAAAATAATAAAGAAACCAAACCACACTTCAGCCCCTTATTAACAAGAGTTTTTAAAAATTGTGAAGTAGATTGATGCCCAAAAATATTGAATAAAATAACCACCTAAGAATCGGCCTCTCTGTTTCAGCAATTGAGCATGCTACCACATTCGCTTTAGACCTTTAACAGACGACGGAAACCTCCACGCACCCTCTCCACACTCCCTCCCTCTCTCTCCCAGGGAAAGCAGCATTAGAGGCTTGGCCTTTGTCCTCCCCAGTCGTGTTTTTTATTTGTCTAAATGTATGAGTCAGAAAGGAACAGGCAGCATTGTTTTCCGTGTCTCAAGTTCGTACACACACTGGCGCGCTGGATGTGTCTGTCTGTAACTTACCTGCGCGGATTCATTTCAACTGCTAGGGAGCAAGCTCTGAATTTCCCACAGTGCCTGGATTCACACCCCAGGCCATGGGAGTTTCGGTTGATTCCAGTTCTCCCCGATGCAGCCAGTGCTGCAGTGGACTCCTGACTGTGACACCGTATACATGGGGTGGGAGGGGACTGTCCCTCGAAGGGCAGTGGCTGTGACTGGGTGAGTGTGCATCGTCCCCTTTACTACTTTGTACATTCACATCGCCACCTACCGACCTGAGCCGAGCTCACGCTCAGCAATCTCGTCACATAAAATCCCATCAAGAGAAGTCCTGTTTTTAAAGAGCCAGTGTTGTACTGACTTCCTTTACGTGCTGCGCACCCACCGTGGGCATTCAGAAAAATGGCAGGTCCTTTGCCTGGGAAGAACTTCCGAGTGTCTGAAGGCAGAGCAAGGGCAGGGCTGGGTCTGCAGACGTGGTGCCCTCCCTGCTGCGCTGCACCTGCTCATGAGAACGCCCTGATGAGACCGCGAAGTTCCCACCTGCCGCCTGGGAAGGCGGGGGTGAGGGCTGGGGGGGAGAAGGGGAGCCGTGAGCCTACACCACGTGCCCCCCAGCGTCTGCCCGCCGCGACTGCTCCTTCAGTTTGCTAGCCGGTCGTGCTCGGGTGGGACTTCCGAGCCTCCGAGGGCCCAGCTGAGATGCTGGAGTCAGGTTGGAGAAACAGTGCAGGTCAGCCTGAGGAGACAGCCAGCCTGGAGACAGCCAGCAGTGGCCTGAGCTGGCTGCTCGGCAAGCTTCTGGCTGCTTTTTCTCTCTCTCTTTTATAGATTTATTTATTTATTTATTTATTTATTTGAAAGTCAGAATTTCACAGAGAGAGGAGAGGCAGAGAGAGAGAGAGGTCTTCCATCTGATGGTTCACTCCCCAAATGGCCACAAAGGCCAGAGCTGCACTGATTGGAAGCCAGGAGCCTGGAGCTTCTTCCAGGACTTCCACATGGGTGCAGGGGCCCCAGGAGTTGGACCATCTTCTACTGCTTTCCCAGGCCATAGCAAAGAGCTGGATCGGAAGGGGAGCAGCCAGGTCTCGAACCAGCGCCCATATGGGATGCCAGCGCTTCATGCCCTCTGCGACACAATGTCGGCCCCTGCTGCTTTCTCTTACCACCCAACTTCCGAACTTACTATAAAACAAAAATAGTCAGGGTCAGCACTGTGGCATAGTAGGCTAAGCCTCCGCCTGTGGCACCAGCATCCCATATGAACACCGGTTCGTGTTCTGGCTGCTCCTCTTCCCATCCAGCTCTCACTTATGGCCTTGGAAAACAGTGGAAGATGGTCCAAGTGCCTGGGCCCTTGTACCCATGAGGGAGACCCGGATGGAGTTCCAGGCTCCTGGTTTCAGATGAGCCAAGCTCCAGCCATTGCAGCCATCTGGGGAGTGAACCAGTGGATGGAAGACCTCTCTGTCTCTCCCTCTGTCTGTCTGTAACTCTGCCTCTCAAATAAATAAATAAAAATCTAAAAAAAAAAAAAAAAGCATTGAGGGAAAGAACAGACACACAGGTGAAAGGAAGACTGTAGAGCCCAGAAAAGACCCCCACAAATCCAGCTGACTGAGCGTCAGTAAAGGAGCAAAGGCAAAATCAATGGAGTGGGGAAATGGTACTAGAGCCACTGGACATTCGGGGCAGAAAAATTAATCTAGACACAAAGCACTGCGCCTTCCACAAAACTAACTCCAAGCAGGCAATAGACCTCATTGTAACATAAAAGCTTGACATTTGGGAGGACAACAGGATAAAATCTAACTGTTCTTGGTTTTGGCAATGACTTTAGAACACAACCCATGAAAAAGAAAACTGATGTTGGATTTCATCAGAATAAAAAAATCCTGCCCTTCAGGGTTGATTTCTTCTGTTCAGAGAATGAAATAACAAGCCACAGGCTGGGAGAAAAATGTTTGCACAACACATATCTGATAAAGGACTGAATCCGGAGCACACAAAGAACTCCTACAATTCAACAATTAAAAAAAAAAAGCCAGTTAAAATGGTTGAAATATCCAAGCAGAAATATGATGTGCAGATGGCAAATAAACATTTAAAGAAGCAGGCCAGGTCCTGTGCTATCGGGAATTGTGAATTAAAATGATGAGATACCACTGTGTACTGATTACAATGGAAAAATCATCACCATCGACAACGCAAACGCTGGTGCGATGGGGAGCAACAGGAACGCTCCTAGGTAGCTGCTGGGAGTGCAAACTGGTACGGCCACGGATGTGTTTTGCTAGGGCTGTCGTAACCAAATCCCAAAGCCTGAAAGTTATTTTCTCACAATTCTAGAGGCTAGAAGTCTAAGATCAATGTTTCGGCAGAGTCGATTTATTCTTTTTAAAGGTTTGTTTGAAAGGTAGAGAAACAGAGGAGGGAGGAGAGAGAGAGAGAGAGCTCTTTCATCTGCTGTTTCACTCCCCAAATGGCTGCAACAGCCAGGGCTGGGCCAGGCCAAAGACAGAAGCCAGGAACTCCACCCTGGTTTCCCACGTGGGTGGCAGAGGCCCACGTACTCAGGCCATCTTCCGCTGCCTCCCTGGGGCGTTAGCAGAACGCTGGATGGGAAGCAGAGCAGTGCCGTGATACGGGATGCCAGCTTCCCCTGCTCACCACACCGGCCCCAGAGCTGAATTCTCCCGAGGCTTTCTGCTTGACTTGCCTTCCCATCAGCTCTCCGTGCTCTTCCCTCCGTCAGACACTCCTCTGGGGCCCACTTTCCTCTTCCTACAGCAATGCCAGTCATAGTGGACCAGCCCCACCCTAACGGCCTCATTTTCCCTTACCCCTCTCAAGGTCCTAAATCCAAATATAGTGCTCTAAGGCACGGAGGCTTAGGACTTCAGCGTACAGATTTTAAAGAGATACAATTCAGCCCAGAAGGGGTTCTTACAAAACTAAATGTGCTCTTACCATAAATCTGATCCAGCAATCAGGTTCAGTATACACCCAAATGAGCTGAAAACACTGTACACATGAAAATAGATACACAAAGGCTTATAGCCACTTTATTCGTAATTAGAAGCAGTCGAAACGTCTCTCAGTAGATGAATAGATAAATAAACCGTGGTATGTATGTATGTGTGTGTGTGTGTATATATATATAAAATAGATTTTGCTTACTTAAAGGTGACTAATAGTCTCTACTGGGCTGCATTATATTAAATAATTTTAATCTTTAACAATTTTTTTCTTAAGTTGGCATTGTGGCGCAGCAGATTAAGCTAATGCCTGCTACACCAGCATCCCATATTTGAGTGCTTGTTCAGGTTCCAGCTGCTCTGCTTCTGATACTGCTCCCTGCTAATGTGCCGGAAAGGCAATGGAAGATGCTCCAAGTACTTGGGCCTATATCACTCAGGTGGGAGACATGGATGGGGTTCCTGGGTCTTGGCTTCAGCCTAGAATAGATTTGACTGTTGAGACCATTTGGGGAATGAACTAGCAGATGGAAGATCTCTCTCTCTCTCTCTCTCTCTCTGATGCTTTCCTTTCAAGTAAAAAATAAATCTTTAAAAAAATAATCTATTTGAGAAGCAGAGAGACAGAGAGAGCATGCGAGCCCTTCTACTTGCTGATTCATTCCTTCAAATGCCTGTAAGAGCAGGTGCTTGGATGAGGCAGAAGCTGGCAGCCAGGAACTCAATACCGGTCTCCCATGTGGTCGGCAGGACCCCAATTATTTGAACGACTATGGTGGCCTCCCAGGGTCTGAGCTAGCAGAACGCTGGAGCCAGGAGCCAGAGTCAGGACCTGAGCTCAGGAACTCTGATGTGAGATGCAGGTGTCTAACAAGCCTCTTAACCACTAAATTCCCACCCATCTATTGAAGAATTTTAAAATTCAATAATGTGAGAGTAGAAACACTTCAAAAATTAAAACCAAGTATGAACAGCAATTTCTTTTTTTTGTAATAATTGTGAAATGTATCTTTTTATAAAAGGTATTTATTTGAAAGTGAGAGTAGGGAGAGGAGAGAGAGAGTTCTTTCATCTGGTGGTTCACTCTCCAAGTGGCCACAACAGCTGGGGCTGGGGAGGCTAAAGCCAGGAGCCAGGTGCACCATCTGGGTCTCCCACATGAGTGGAGAAACTCAAGCACTTGGGCCATCTTCCACTGCCTTCCCAGGTGCATTAGCGGGGAGCTGGGTTGCAAATGGAACAGTCAGGACTCAAATCCGCTCTCTGAAACGGGATGCTGGTGTTAGAAGTGGCAGCTTAGCCCCTGCGCCGCAACACTGGCCTCAACTCAGAAACTTCTTTCAAAGACCTCTGCCAGTGTTGTTACCCCCTACTCTCACTCTCACTTCTTATCCTGAAAATACCTCCATCCACCCGCCTCTTCCATGGGAAAGAACTTCTTACTGAGTTTTCAAGGAAGACAGGTCATTGTCGTAACCACTGTGTGAGACGCGCAGTAGCAGTATTAGCCTCTCATGTAACTGACGGGAAAGTTTTGCTTTCCCCCAGTCAGTCACAGGGAGGGAAGCTCTGGCGCCACCTGGCTCCTTGCTCTGACAGAGGTCGTTCTGCTCTGAGGTACAGGGGATGCAATCACGGCACACCTGTGAGAGGGCTAGCAGGTGCTTTCCCCAGGTACCCATGGCTCCCGGCAGTGCGCTCCCTGAGGCAGGTTTTGAAAGAGATGAGGGCTGGGGATGGCAGCAAGGGAGGCTGCACACAGTGAGACAGGGGTCTGAGCAGCCAGGCACCAGGTGGGATTGGGGGTGAGGGGTGCAATATTGACCCTCCCGTGGCCCGAGGCCATCCCTGAAAAGCCAAAGTCACAAAGGTGTACTCTTGAGTCTGGCGCTGTGGCTTAGAGGGTAAAGCTGCCGCCTGCAGCGCCGGCATCCCACATGGTGCCGGCTGCACCACTTCTGATCTAGCTCTCTGCTATGGCCTGGGAAAACAGTGGGAAACGGCCCAAATCCTTGGGCCCCTGCACCCGTGTGAGAGACCTGGAAGAAGCTCCTGGCTCCTAGCTTCCAGCATACAGCTCTGTAACTCTGCCTTTCAAATAAATAAATAAATACATACATACATAAATAAAAAATAATAAAAAAAAGATGCTGCTTGGGCTGCCTGCATCCCATATTGGAGGGCTTGGGTTCATGCCCAGTCTCTATTTCCAATTCCAGCTTCCT